CTCACCCCATCCCACTTCAATCTCACAAGCTCCATTCTGCTTAAGCTTATTGTTTCGGTCACTATTGAGGCATCTCGTTGAGGGACTTCCGCTTCTTCACGAATCCTCTACATTCCCAAGCATGATATGCTTTGCCAATGGCTGGTCCTTCCCAAAAATATGCTCAAAGGACACGAGATACAATCTCTCCACTCTTGCTTCTAAGAAGCCTTCTGGCTGCACTTCATCCAGGACATAATTGTTTGTTCTTTTGGTAGTCTATATCCAATACTCTTCACCAACATCACCATACTCTTGTTGTTGTTGTCATTGTTGTTGTTAGGTACTGTCAAGCTGATTATGACTTATAGTAACTCTATGAACAACAGATCTGAACTCTGTCCTATCCTGTGCCATCCTCATCACTTCTGATATCCTTGAGTCTATTGCCGCAGTCACTGTCAACCCATCTTGTTCGAGATCTTCCTCTTTTTCACCTAACCTCCACCTTTCCAAGCAGGATGGCTTTTTCGCAAGGAAAGGCCACTCCTACACATGCCCAAAGTATGTGAGATGAAACTTTGTCATCTTTGCCTCCAAGAAGCATTCTAGCTGCATTTACTCTAAGACTTATCTGTTCTTTTGCTAGTCCTTAGGTTACTAAGTACTCCTCTCCAACACTGCAGCTCAAAGACATCCATTGTCTTTCTGTCTTCCTTATTTATTATCCAGCTTTCAGATGCAGAGCAAATGACTGAAAAGACCATGGCCTGAATCAAGTGCACCTCAAACTGACATCATTGCTCCTAAGTAATTTGGAGAGGTCCTTGACAGCAGACTTTCCCAATGCAATACATCTCCTGATCTCCTCACTACCAAGAATGTTGATTATCCAAGTAAGATGAAATTGACAATTTCAATCTTTTTACATTTGTTGTTGTTATTGTTAGTCATCTGCAACTCATAGTGACCATATGTACAACAGCCCTAAACCTTACTCTATCCTATCTTATTGTCTCTGGCACACCTACCCCCATTACCCCAGTCACTGAATTAATCCATCTCATCGAGGGTCTTCCTCGCCTGTGCTGTCCCTCCACCCTCTCAAGCATGACAGCCTTCTCCAAGGACTGATCCCTCCTTGCAACATGCCCAAAGTATATTATATGAAGCTTCAGAATCCTTGCCTCCAAGGAACAGCCTGGTTTAATCCTCTCTAGGGTGAACCTCTTTGTTCTCTTAGCAGTCCCTGGTATGTTCAATACTCTTCTCCAACATCACAGCTCAAAGGTATCAATTCTCCTTCTATCATCCCTCATCATTGTCCAGCTCTCTGATGATGCAAGTGATTACAAAGGCCATGGCCTGTATCATGGAAAACCTTAGTCTGCAGACTGAGATCATTGCTTTTCAGTACTTTGAAGAGGTCTCTGACCGCAGACTTTCCCAACACAGTATGTCTTTTAATTTCCTGGCTGCTGGTGCCAAGAGTGTTGATTGTGGAGCCAAGCAAACTAAAGCTGTTTACAATCTCAATCTCAATCTCTTCACCATCCATCATGATGCTGCCAATCAGCCCAGGGTGAGAATCTTTGTTTTCTTGATATTGAGCTTCAATCCATCCTGAAGGCTGCAGTCCTTAGAGTCTCCTCAAATTCAGCAAGCAGGATTATGTCATCTGAATAACACAGATTGTTGATGGGTCTTCATCCAACACTGATCCCACATTTCTCCTCATAGAGCCCTGGCTCCGGGATAATCTGTTCTGCATATAGATTGAAAGGTATAGAGATAGGACACATCCGTGGCATACATCCTTCCCAATTTTGAATCATGCAGTGTTCCCTTGCTCTGTTGTGATGACTGCATCCTGGTCCAATGGTTAAAATCCAAGCACTGACATTAACAAATACTGATGACAATACAAGCAACAGGAATCTTTATTCTTTGCTTTACTGAAAAGCAAAATTACAGAGTCGCTCTGGAGGGCTATGTGGCAGTTTCTTATGAAACCAAACAAACTCTTAGTGTATAACCCACTAATTGCAGTTCTAGCTACTTATCCAAAAGAGTTTAAAACTTTTACACACACAAAAGCCTACATACAAATGTTCATAACAACTTTATTCATATTTTCCAAAAATTGGAAGCACCCAAGCCATCCTTCAAAATTTCAGTGGACAAGTGAACCATGACGCATGTAGACATTGGAATATTATTCAACAGCAAAACGATCAAGGCACAAAAGACCGAACGTACATATTCCTAACTGACAAAGCCAGTTTGAAAATGTTCATTGAAATTATACATCAATGAAATGGACAAATTCCTATAAACATAAAAACAATGGTTAGAATTTAATGTACATGACATTGGGGAATGTTGTTGTTGTTGTTGTTAGGTGTCATTGAGTGGGTTTCTACTTAGAGCAATCCTGTGAACACAACAAAACCCTGCTCTTTTCTCATGATCTCTGCCTTATTAAACATGTTGTAGTCACCAAGTCAATCAATCCATCATGTTAAGAGTCTGCCTCTGTTTCAAGGATCCTCTACTTTTCCAAGCATAACGCCTTTCTCCGTGAACTTCTGAAAACATGCCTTAAGTATGTGAGATGAAGTTTCACCAACTTTGCCTCTAAAGAACACCTTATTTCTACTTCCTCCAGGACAGATTTGTTTCTTTGGCAATCTGTGGGATTTTCAGAACTCTTCTTCAACACCACAGTTCAAATGCATCCATTCTCTTCAGCCATTCTTATTTATTATCCAACTTTCAGATGAATAGGAAGCAATTTCATATTCCATCACTCGGATCAGGAACATCTTGATCTTTAAATTCTTGCTCTTCAGCACTTTGGCAAGGTCCTTAACAGTAGATTTTTTCCGATTAAATACATTTTGATTTCTTGACTGCTACTACCACAGATGTTGATTGTGGATCCAAATGAAATGTTAACAGCTTCAATCTTTTCTCCATCTATCATGATGATGGCTACTGGTCCAGTAGAAAAGTTTTTGTTTTCTTGATGCTGAGATGTAATTCATGTTGAAGGCTATAATCTTTTACCTGCTTCAGTAAGTGCTTCAAGTCCTCTTCACTTTCAGCAATGAAGGCTCTGTCATTTTCATGACTTAGGTTGTTGAAGAGCCTTCCTCCAATTCTCATGCCACATTCTTCTTCATGAAGTCCAACTTCTAAAATGATGTACTCAGCATACAAATAGAATAAGTATGGAAATAAGATACAACTTTGCTGAATATCGTTCCTGATTTTAAACTATACAGTATCTCTTTGTTGCGATCAATGACTGTTTCTTGGTCTATGTACAAGTTACACATAAACACAATTAAATCAGTTGAATGTTTCAGAATTCCCATTCTTCTCAAAGCTAGCCATAATTTCTTTTTTTGTGCTGAAACCCAGGACTATCCATAATTTCTTATGATCCATACAGTATATCTTTGCTGAACCAATAAGATATAGACAAACATCTTTTTTTAATATTCTCTACTTTTAGCCAAGGTCCATATAATATCAGCAATGTTACCATTCATTCTATGGCCTCTTTTGAATTCAGGCTGAATTTCAACATCATTAATACCACATGCAAGTAAAATCTTGCTGAAGATTATTAAAAACATCTGGAACAGCACATCAACATGGAACTGCCAGAAATCCGGGCCATAAGGGGATTTTAAAGGCATTTTCATTCAAGGATGGTTGGTCTGGCCATTCTAATAGCAGGAAGTTAGCTTTGTTCAAACAGCACAGCTATCCCATGACAAAAAAAAAAGAAAAAAATTCATTCTCTAGTCAAAAGGTTGATTGTATAAGGCTGCATCTTCTGATTAATGAAACTGATCCCTCTGGAGTGCACACTAGGTACAATTAAGTAGTCAGAGATGTTGGGAAGTACAACTCATTAAAAAAAATAAAATAAAATGGCCAGACCTAAACTGACAATGGATATACTTTTAAACTTCAAATCTTAACAGATTTTAACACAAATGTTATTACACGTAACTGGAAGGCATCATTCCTCTTTCTTCGTAATTGTACCCTTTGCACCACTACTTTGTGATTCTCATTTCTATTAATCCTTCTATTATACCCTTTCCTACTTTCCGAGCTTTATGTTTTGAGCAAGCGCTCAAAATGCTTTCTCTTCTGGCCTTCCATCTTGGGTTAGTCAGAGGAGCATGTTCCTGTCTGATGTTACTGTTCACCATACAGCGCTTGGATGAATGTGGAGCTGTAGGGGTCAGTTTTGTTCTGGGTTCGATGAGTGAGTAAGGAATACAATCATGGAGGTTTCACTAGTCTCTATAGGACCAATACATCTGGTCACTTTATGTCGCTGAATTTTATTCCACATTTTTGCCCCCCTCTGTCCAGGACCCTCTACTGTGATCCTGTATAGAGTGGTCAGTAGTAGTAGCTGGGTACCAGCTGGTTCTGTTGTCAAGGCCACAGGGATTGAGAGTAGGGAAGTTCACTTGTCCGGTGGACTACTTGTTTCTGAATCTGCTTCTCTTCCCTCTTACTTGTTCAGGACAGGGCGAGGCCTTTAGTTGCACCCTTGAGGCTGCTCTCAGCTCTTAAGACCATTGCAGTGGCTGTCACTTCAGGTGGTCATTGGTGAGGTACTCTCTCTCTCTCTTTAGGTCTCATTTGTTAACAATTAAAGAAATTACAATTCTTACATCACAAAGCCTTCATGAGAATGAAAGGGAGTATACTGAGCAGATCGGGGGGCAGAAATGTTAGCACTTAACAACCTTCAGTTTAACATCCTCTCATTTGTACAAAGCTAGTGAAGGAAGGTATTTTAAGTGATTATCAATGTTACCTTTGGTTTCCACAATTGAATCCAAGTAGTTATGGATCTGGGAGAAGCTGGACAGATGGCTAAGCCTTGGACTTGAGGCTTTAGCAGCTGCACCACAAATGGGTGCTTTGGGGGAGTTGGGGTTGACGGAGGCTCATTGGTGTCACACCAGGAGGACACTGTGTGGTCTTCACTTTGGCCTGAGTCCAGCTCTCTTGAGCATTTTGACTAAAGCCACTCTCACCTCCCGGTTCCTCAGGCTGTAGATGAGGGGGTTGAGTGTGGGCGTGACCAAGCTGTAAAAGAGGGAGACCACATTGTCCTGGTGTGGGCTGTGGTAGGCACCTGGCACCATGTACATGAACACAGCCGCTCCGTAAAAGAGCCCCACCACCGTGATGTGCGACGAGCAGGTGGTGATGGCTTTGTGCCGGGCCTCATCCGAGCGCATGCGTAGGACAGCCCCCAGCACGTGGCCGTAGGAGGTGGCGATGAGCGAGAGTGGAAGCACCAGGATCAGCACTCCGGAGATGGACAGCGCCAACTCATAGGCGGAGGTGTCTGCACAGGAGAGTTTCAGCAGCGCAGGCACCTCGCAGAAGAAGTGGTCCACCACGCGGGAGGCGCAGTAGGGGAAAAAGTGCATGGTGATGGAGGTTTGGACAGAGGCGTTGAGTACCCCTGCCAGCCAGGAGGCGCCCACCATGAGCACGCACACCTGGCGTCTCATGAGCAAAGGATACTGCAAGGGGTAGCACACGGCGACGTAACGGTCATAGGACATGAGGGCCAGGAGGACGACCTCAGCCACCCCCATCATCGTCAAGAAGAATATCTGAGCTGCACAACCCCCAAAGGAGATGGCTCCCGCTCCCTGCAGGAAATCGGCTGCCATCTTGGGGATGGTGACCAGTGGGAAGCCAACATCAAACAGAGAGAGCTGACTGAGCAGAAAGTACATGGGTGTGTGCAGGTGGGAGTCCATGCGGATGAGAAAGAGCAGGATGGTGTTTCCCAGAAGGCCCGTGATGAACACAGCGGCCACCAGGGAGAAGAGGAGCTCGTCCGACCCTGAGTGGCTGAAGAGGCCCAGCAGAATGAAGTCCGAGCCCACTGACTGGTTCACATCCCCCATTGCTTCATAAAGCACACTTTCACTGCAGGGGGGAAAAATGAGACCTTGGAATGAGAATAGCAAATAAGGATCATTTCACATGGTAACAGCAATCAAATTGGGAATGCAGCTGTGAGGTGTGGTTTTGTGCAACTGCCTGGTTGCTGTTTTGAGAAGAGTCATGAAGTCATGACTAGAATCAGGAAGGAGGGAGGAAAGGCATGTTCTATTAGTAATATGTGTCCCAGGGATGGGATGGGAAAACAGCAATACGCATTTCCTGGCAAGACTCTTGACACAACCCAGACTCTTTGCAATCAAAATCTTGAAGTAAAAAATAATAATAATAATAATAATCTTGAAGTCCAAGAGAAGCTGCAACCCTATCCCATTGCTAGTGGGAATGAAAAATGGTATGGCCACTGTGGACAACATTTTTATGACTCCTCAAAGAGTTGGAGCCAGAACTCAACAGTCTAGCCCTACAAAAGCTGAAAGCGGGCATTCAAACAAACTTCTGCAGCAAGGTACAGGACCTGAACTGTCTATTAACAGATAAATAGTTGAACAAATGGAGTATATAAATGCAGTGGGATACTTTTTTGACCCCTACAAAAAGGAAGTCTTTATAATGAGAGAGAGAGAGAGAGGTCAGATACAAGCTGAAGGTTCTAGAAAGCAGTTTTCTAGAAGAACGGTGAGGCCATTACATTATATTGCATGGACTGCCAAGAAAACAAACAGATCCATCCTAGGGAAGGTTAAACCAGGCTACTCCTTGGAGGCAAGGATTCTGGGGCTTCGTTTGACATACTTTGGACATGTTGCAAGGAGGGACAGGTCCTTGGAGAGGGACATCATGCTTGGGAGGGTGGAGGGCCAGCACAGGAGGGGAAGACCCTCTATGAGGTGGATTGATTCAGCGACTGGGGTAATCGCGATGGGTGTTTCAGAGGCAATGCGATTGGCACAGGATAGAGCAGGGTTTAGGGCTGTTGTACATAGGGTCGCTATGAGTCACAAATGACTCGACGGCACATAACAACAACAACAACAACAACAACAAATCAACCTCAGTGACAACTCCCTGAGATAATTTCAGACTCTAGGCAAATTCTTGGGAGTTTTTGGCTCAGCCTGAAAGCAGGCAATTTGAATCCACCAGCTGCTCTACAGGAGAAGGATGGGCAATCTCCTCTTGTGCTATTTAAATAAACTTTTTTAAAGTCTCTGAAAATCCACTGAAGGCTCAGAAGCTGTGGGTCAGTTTCCAACTCAAAGGTACACAACAACAACAACTACACACAAAAAAATATTAAGGGAACTTTGGTGGATTAGTGGAAAAGAATTACACGACCAACTTCAAGTTCAAATCCAGCAGCGGCTCCATAGGAGAAAGATGGGCAATCTCCTTCTGTTTGATTTATTGTCTCGGAAAGCCCTCTGGAGGGTCAGCTGTGAAGTGATTCTGACTAAATGGTACACAACAACATACATGTACATACACATACGTAATATATACACACAAACATATATACACACATATGCACATACCTATACACACACACACGTGTATATATATATATATGTACATATACATTGGAAGCAGAAGTAGCATCCACTTCCTAAACAACATGCCTCTGGAAACTCTATGAACTTTGATAAGTGTCAATAGCTATAGAAAGGTTTCAGGCCTTTTGTTCATAGGGTCGCTATGATTCATGCTTAACTTAACAGCAACTAACAACAAAACAACAATATATATATATATATATATATATATATATATATATACACACACACACATATAGCAGCTTAGTGGTAAGGAATTGTGCTACCAACCCAAAGGTACCTAGTTCTAATCAACCATCTGCTCCATAGGAGAAAGATGAGTAGTCTTCTCCTGTGCAATTTATTGCCTCTGAAAATCTGCTGGAAGGTCAGCTATGAGTTGGTTTTGACTCGACAGTATGACAATAGCAGCAACATACACACACAGAGTGGAGGGAAAGGGAGACTGGCACCAAGAAAACTCTGTGGAGCATGGAGTTCTACTTTATCACACATGGGTTTGCCATGAGTCAAAATTTACTCAGTAACAATGAGGAGAAAATTCTTAAATTTTTGGTCAGTTTATAACCAAACTGTTCCTGTAGTTACCAAGTGTCCTAGCTGATAAAGGAGCACTTAGTGTGGATCGTTGTTAAGGGTTGGCAGCACGGCTCTTTACCACTAAGAAACCAGGGCTCTCTTGTTAAGAGCTATGTAAGGGTCCGGAAGGACTGGGTCCTTCTATGTACACTCATGTGGTGGTGGTGGTGCTGGTAGTGGTAGTGGTGGTGGGTGCTCTTGAATCCATCCCAACATGTATTGACCTCAGGTGACAGGAAAGAACTGCACTACTGAATTTCTTAGGCTGCAAACTTTGGGCAAGCACATTGTCAGATCTTTTCCCTGTGGAGTCATTGGGTAGGTTTGAACCACACACCTTTTGGTTAGCAGCTGAGAACTTAGCTGTTGTGTCCCTTATACTCTCACCCAGTGGAACACTTTCTCATTGTAGAGCAGACCCTGGGCTAAGGGTTTCAAGTGCTCTGTTCTTTCCATCCTCAAAGCAACACTGTCCACAAATATTTATCTGTGTTTTTCAGGTGAGAAAACAGAGATTCAGAGCTGTGTAGCAACTTCTCCAGCATCACTCAGCAAGGAAGTAATGGAGAAAAGATTCGAACCAATTGTTGCAATTATTTTCCAAACCCCATATTTTCCCCTCCACATTCCACTATTCCCTAAAACACTGTAATTGGGCTCTCAATAATTGCTTCACACACATTTCTAACTCTCTTTCACCACTAAGTTAATATTTTTTTTCAGTCAATGGGTGAGTATCCAGTCTGTTCATGAGCCATGCACACCACCCCACAGTGTCCATGGTCCTCCATTCCAGGACAGTTCTTGTGCCGGTGTTTCTCTTGGCACCACGGTCTTGTGGACAGGTAGGGAAGGTGTCTGAGCCAAAGGTTCCCAAGGATTTTCCTTAAGTCTTTTAAATTCTCTCAGAGGGTGGTCACATAGTTTGATTTGGGGGGGTCTGGATTGCAATATAATGGTCTCATATCACTGTTAACTCTAAAGCTTCCACTATCTAGAACCCTCATCCTGTCTGTCTCCCTTTCTCTGAGAGAGACAGACAGAGACAGGGAGAGACAGAGACAGAGAGACAGAGAGAGCACGAGCGAGCTAGCTCTGCATGCCCCTGAACTCACCTGCATTGCCGGGTTCTCAGATGTTCTCATTGCAGCTGAAGTATCTAAAGGTCTGGGTTCTTAAATCTTAAGGCAACAGCTCCTCTAACCCAGCCATGATTCTCTCAAGTCCTGGCCGGTTTGTCCCTTGCTTTTAAGACACTCTTCCCCAAGACCTCTTTTCTGGGGGGAAAAATAAAAACAAAAAAACCTCTATTTCTAACCACCCAGCCATCACCTGCATCATTCAGGCAGGTAGAGCTGGACAAAGTCAGATCACGATTCACTCTTACCTAAGTTTGGCCATCTTATGGTAGCCGTAAAGCCAACTCTTTGCTTTTGACAAATTCCTGAATTGTTGCCTTGCCTCTTTCCTTCCCTCGCTGATGGAAAATCTCTAAATGGGGGTCCCCTTGCTGAAACTGAATGACCTTTTTGTCATCAATAAATAAGACCCACCACTCGGTATCATGAGTAGATATGACTTAGGTTATTAATTCAACTTAAAGTATTAACTGGTAGATTTTAGAGGAATGATCATTAATTGCTGTCGCATCAACTATGTCTCTTAACAGCCCTATTAGCAGCAGATTGAAACCTTGTCCTGTTCTGTGCCTCACAGTCTCCACAGAGCTTAAGTATATAGCTGAAGCAACTGTGCAGATCCAACTTGTTGAGAGTCTTCCTTACTTTATTAATAATAAGTAAATGATGACTTAAGATAACCACCCAAGACCTGACTTTTTATAATGTGTCCAGTTAATAGTCTGCAGAATATCATTTCTATCCTTTCATTCATTCTCACATCCAATTACCACCACAGCTCAAAACTCAGTGGCAAGACTTATTCAACACATATTTGTTGCATGAATAAATTCAGCAAGAGAACCATTCTTTTTGATGGAGCTAATAGCATAGACTAATGAACTCTGGGTAAAGGACTTAACAAAAGTCACACAGCTATTAAGATGTTTTGTTGCAGGATTTGGACACTCAACAGTTCTGAATCCAAATGCAGAGTTCTCTCTGCTCTTGATGTCAATGTTCACTTCTTCCTCTCTGCAGTTCACAACTGAGAACCCCTCCAGAGGGTCTCTGCTGTGGATGCCATGCCCCAGAATGTGACTTTACCTCCAACCTATTCCAAGTAGGTTGTGTTGATCCTAGTCCCATGGCCACAGTCAGGTGGCCCACACCTTACTGCTTCATGTAACCTGTAGAGAAGGTCAAGCATAAGCACCAACATGGTGGTGTTCTCCTATGTACAAGTTTTGCGCTTGGGCTCCCAGCAATGATGATAGACATAAAAGCAGTTTTCAGTCTGACATGTACACATCTGCTTGAAGGGTAGGAAGTGTCGGCGAGGTAGACCAGAAATCTTTCCACCCAACACCTGTGTAGACTTACACTAGCATGTTCATGAAAAACATAAATAACAGTTCTTTTGATCTATCTGGACACTATGCCATTTAATGTCTTCTAATTCATGGCTAGACACCCCAAAACTCCCACAAGCCCTGACTTCCAAGCTCTCTCTCCCACTCACCATGACTGGGGTGCGGGCAGAGGATGACTCTTCTCAGCACCCCTTTCATCCCAAGACAGTTCTTGATAAAATCTCCTTGGAGCCCAGCATCATGAAATTAACTACCCAGAAACTAACATCAACAACTGAGGATTAAGGCTCAGGGCGGGGTGTGTGTGGAGGGGAGTGATTGCATCAGAATCCCCCCCGGGTCTCCTTTTTCTGCTAGAAAGAAAATTATTTCCAATGGG